GCATAGGTTACTGAAGATCAATATTCTAACCCAGACCTTCATGGATATCTTATGAGATTACATAGGCTCATGTTCTGCAGGATAGTAACTTCACCATGGCAGCTGAACAAAAGCTGCCTGTGCATCTCAAAATGAATCATTGACTTCATGCCTCTTGCAGGATAACAATAATGTGGATTTGTTACATCAATTAATGAATGAAGAACACGAAATGCGTAATGTTTACAAATAATTACAAAATGTGGCATTCAACCAAATGAAAGAATGATAAGCACACAAATAAAAGCCCTTGCTGAAAGGACACAGTATTATTCAGTTCTGAGTGCCACCGGAATTTTCCAACTAACATCTTAAAATGTAGGGACCCATAATAATTGTAAATAAGACAATCAAGGCTCTTCTTCCTAGGGGTGTTTTCTGTAGTTTCTGCATAGTCTAGGTGAGACCTTGTACATCTGGCCACCTGTAGCCCACACAACACAGCATTCCACAGCATAGTCTAGGTGAGACATTGTACATCCACCTGTAGCCCTCTCATAACACAGCATTCCAGGTTCTACTATAACACGGTGATATAACTGAGATCAGCTGCACAACATACATAATGAACTTGGTTAACAAGTTCCTCTAACAGAGTTTCATCAAATATTTGTATAACATATATAGGTAAATATCTATACACACACAATAAATCTCAAAAACACAAACCAAACTATCATAATGCAAAACCACAGATGAAAAACAATTCTAATTCCAAATATAGAAAAGCAACATTTAACTAAAACCTTTCAGAAGATTACACTTATTTAAAGCATGTATGCACAGATTTGTTTATCTGGAATGAAGAAAAGAAACTGAAACTAATTTTAATACATTTTAAATTGACAGACTACTACATTGTTAACTGACGAGGAAAAGTAGGTAAATTGAACAGCAGTAATGTGATGTTACATAATACCTCAAAAAGGATAACTGATCAAATGAATGGTATATATTCTCCATCTTCCACAAACACCGAGATGAGGACTAAACCTTCAAATTAATATCCATAGCTAAAAATAACCTTTATTATTACAATCTCTCTACATCAGTTGACTCAAGCAGCATAGTGACATGTTTCTAAGTGATGTTGAAAACAGAAACATCTTCTTTACCATCATTTCCCCTAAGCCTAAAACATATTATATTTACCACTATTCACTTTCAGTTCAATAACCTTACCTTTGAAGAGGGGAAGACTCAAACCAGTTTAATAAGTAAAGTAACATATCTGGTGTCACTAATGGCTTTTAGAAACAGGTTTATATTATGCAGCAGAATTTCAAAGCAAGACATTCCCTATGCCTCAAGACCTGTGAAGATCCGGTGTAACTGGCCTAGGACAAACTTTAACCTAAGCCAAACATGATTTGGACAGATGAAGAACTAATGCAATGTGTCTTCATAGGAATGGCAACAGGAGCAGGATTGATATAGAGATATGTGCTCGTCAAACATGTATGCATTCAAATCACTACATCCAAGTCAGAGGCAAAAATTGACTATTTGGCAAAAATGTGCACCAAAATATAAGTCGAAGCTACTGCCGGTTTATAAGAGCAAGGGTGGGGAAGAAGTAGCCTAGCTATGCCAGAATCTCCCCCTTTTGATATAAAAACATGGGTGGGAAAGAAGTGGCCTAGCTAGGCCAAAATCTCCCCACTTTTCATAGAAAACAGAACAAAATATCCTAGTTTAAACAGGGGGGAAAGTTTGGCCTAGGGGGGTGCTTTAGCCTAGCCCAAACTTTCCCCGGGGTAAGAATATCCTAGGGCAAAACCTCCCCGGGGAAAGTTTGGCCTGGGCCAGATTCTCCCCGGGGAAAGTTTAGACCGGGGAAGAAATGGCCTGCTACACCGGGTTACAATTGGTCTTCAGCCACCCATGCTTGTTGTAAAGGCGACTAACAGGATTGGGTGGTCAGGCTCACAGACTTGGTCGACACATGTCTTCGTATCCCAATTGTGTAGATTGATGCTCATGATGTTTATCACTGGATTGTCTGGTCCAGACTTGATTATTTACAGACCACCGCCATATAGCTGGAACATTGCTGAGTGAGGTGTTAAACAACAAACCAACCAACCTTAGGCTGTGAATCTGTATCCCTAAAATTTACACAATTGCAAATAGCATATGTCGAAATAACCCACATTGGTCCAACTGGGCATTTAGTGGGATGCGGAATAGGATATCCAGAAAAGCATGTTTACTCGTAAAATCGGGCAAAATTTAGAAAAAATATTAATAGCTGCTGAAAACAATAGATGAGACTATATATGGCAATTAGGTCGCTCAGCAAGGTATGATGATGTACCGTCAACTCACCTGGCATGAAATGCATGTGCTGTCTACAGGCACAAGGGATCATCTCAAAGATATTTTATGATTTTTCATGTGTGTTGAATATGTCTCATCTATTGATTAACGTCTTACGTGTCTTTCTTTCATAAAGTTTATGTTGAGATATGTAAAGAGTATGATACCCATAGAAAAGCTTAAATCAGCCATCATATCAAACGGCTCAAAACATTATAGGTCGCATGACCACCTGTATATAGACAGGACAGGACTGGATATTATTTGTAAATTGTTATGACATGCCGTTTACTTCCCCACTTTAATTTCCCTAAAGGATTATCTTATCTCAGCTGATATCTCTATGTGCTAAAAATGGCTTCTGTGAGGTTGACAGGAGATGTATTTCAGTGTTACCTTAATCCAACCTGACTTAACCAATCAAACAGCTAACAGCACCACTTACTAGCACAGAGTAGAGTACTACCACAAAAAAAACCCTTTAAAACTGTGATAATACAACAGTTCACTGATTGGTATATGGACAACGTATGAACAAACTGGAAGGCAGACAACAAGAAAGCCTGTAGATCTGATAAGTGTGTCATAAAACCTTTCCATAAGTGCTTGGTCGTGTCAGCCTATGATGCAGTCAGTGATGCTTAGTTTGACAGCCATGTTTGAATGACATAATGTTACTACTACAAATATGTTAAATCTGCTGCTCAATAAACTGTCACATTGAACTGAGAGTTGTTAGTTTTTATATGTATATTTGCAGTCTTTTCCAACCTGTTTGTTTTATTATCAAATGCAAAACCACCAATAAGAAGACAAAAACGGAACCTGATATGTTCAAATTGGGAGTGGAATTAGAGTCATTATTGTCATAAACATATACACCAATTCTTATGAGGAAATGCTATGTGAAACAAGATAAACACAATGTGTGAAGACACAGATCAAAATAGCTAGGGTTGAAGAAATTAGATATGCTGATAGTTATATAATGTACATTCAATCCAAAGAAACCAATAGTACTATTCATATTTCATCATGATGCATGCACAAATGACAGTACTTGACAAATATAACACTTCTCATAAGACTGACATGACAACCACACCTGGAAAAAGTACAAAATTTCACGAGCATATTTTAGATAAGTTACAGAGAAGAAAGGTGTAAGTTCACACTACAGTGTTACAGGAGCGCAAAGGCATACCTCAAATTACAATCTCTCTAAAAAACCCTTCAGGCAAGGTGGACTCAACGGTTTACTCCCAAAAGTTAGACTTCCCAAAAGTCATACATGCCAATTGTCAGACAAATCAATCAGGCGTGACTGTGATTACAACCTTGTCTTACCCACTGATATAATGAACCTGTCCCATACACTAACAAGATGGTTTTCACATTTGTACAGAAATAGTTTGATCAGAATACTAATGTTGACTGGATGCTCAAAAGATGATCAACCGCCCCTTTCAACCTGTTGGAGTGCAGACAGACTTTCAGCTAGCAGCCATCCGAGTCATAGAGAGGGGGTTTCCAGCAGCAGAAGTCAAGGGGTGCTTTTTTCATTTCACCCAGGCAGTTAGGAGGAAGATACAAGATCTTGGCCTGGCTGTCCCGTACAAAGAAGACCCTGAAGCACAGAGGTGGATACGATGAGCTGCTGGGCTTCCTCTGCTTCCCCTGGGCGATGTCCAGGACACATGGATGGATGCCATGAACGAGACACCTGCCGTTCCCCGAGCACAAGACATGAACAACTACATTGTAGAAACATGGGTTGATTATGGGTCCCGATTTCCACTACATCTATGGACATTTTTGCCTGTATAGTGAATGATGTGAAATATGTGAAATCGTAAATCTTGAATGATTGAATTCTTTGTAATGACTTTATTTGGCATAAAAACAAAACAAGTAAATTTAACAAGATAATTTAAATGGTCAGTCAGACCATTTAAATTATCTTGTTAAATTTACTTGTTTTGTTTTTATGCCAAATAAAGTCATTACAAAGTCATCCATTCATCATTTAAATTATGTTGTTCAATTAACTTATTTTGTTTTATGTCAAATAAAGTCCTTGTCATTATCCATAATCTCTTCTCTTTGTGTTTGAATTAGTACATTTGGACTAGTCCATTAATTAACGAAGGTAACAGTGTAGTGAACCTCAGTGCAACCAACCATAACCTTTGTTGTTTTAACGTGTCTAACTTTTGGGATGTCCAACTTTTGGGAGGACACCGACTAAACATAACACTCCACTTAAACATAATTAGGTTAATCCAGAGGTAGTTATCTACACATTTCTTACTAGTGTCAAGAGAATGGGATGGATTTTCTTACAATTTCATTTTGGAACATAAAAACCCTCCAGAAATGCTGACACATCTCTTATCCATTATTTGAATCTGTATATAAGCAATTTGGTTTTGGCATAGTGGCACATACTGGTTCCCCACTGTATATTAATAGAAAATGGTGGATCTTTTATGAAGGGTCCAGATCACTGGTTATACAGACTGTTTGGCACATTTTGATTATCACCTATCCCAATATCCCAATAGTCATAATAAGTTGGCTAATCTGCAGTGTGCAGACTGCAGGTTGAGATGGTATAACTCAACACAATCACAGGTCTGAGATAGATCAAGGCACAGTTTATGTATGATATTATGTATGATGTTTCTTCACTACCACAGCGTGATGATACAAACACATACTCTCTGTGTGAGCAATGACAACAATTTGCATAGAGATTATATGTGTAGTTAAATATATTTCTATATAAATGTATACCTCTCCTCATGCAAGGCTAAATCTTCCATCTGTGGCATGTGATAAATATACTGACAGCTAATGACGTGCCAGTAGCAGGAATGTTATCAAGTCTTACATACACAGATCACAAATAGCAACATCATTTAACAATTGACAGAAAACATAGTAAAGATATATCTGTACTAGAAACAGCTGAACATTGGCATCAGCTTTGGTTGGGACTTTAATGTTGATGCACCACATATCTACTTAACATTAGGAATTAACAATTTTGCATTGAATCATTGTTTTCAAACAGGAAAATACCTGCTTCATCAGTGAAGACAAGTAGTAAACCTAGCTATGTAAGTGTGAAATACTTTGGGTACACTTTCCCTATCTTCCATCCAATCTGAAGCAGTGAATATGATGGCAGAGACAGTTCAGAATCTTGTTATCAATCTGCATTATTGTTTTCATACAGATTCAAAACATCATGCAAAAGTCACCTGGAATGAAAGTAAGACAACTTTATGTAATGACAAAATATCACTTGAATGTGAATGAAAGACATCATGGAGACCCCTTCCTGTCCATGTTGGACATGAGGTTTCGCAGCTTCTGTAGGTTAGCCATTGTCATAGAATCATCAGGTTTCAGTTTGAGAGCAGAAAGGTAGCTGCGCTCAGCCTCGGCCAACTTCCCGTTGATATGAAGGATAGCACCCAGGTTCATGTGAGCTGATGGCAACTGGAATACAGAAATACATTTTAATCAAACATCACTTTCTTCAATGACAACAAGAAAGGGATTGCTTAGGATGAAAATATAGAAATAGCTCCATCCCCACCTGAATAAGCCATAACTTTCAAGTCAGAAATGCCCATCATGAACCATTTTAACTTCACTGCATCATGTGACACTTGCGATTAAACTTTGAAATGGAAAGTCCTATGCCTGTGGATGTCTTACCAACAAACCCATAAGCACTTGTGGTTTAATCATTTCTGGTTTAATAAACACAAGCACAATGTAGGACAACTTGAAACAGAAGCATATGCTTTTGGATATCCTCATAATAAAGCACTTCCAGTTTTATGGAATTTTCTGGTATTTGAAAACAAATGCCAAACTGAATTCTAGAACTACTTTGAAACAGAAAGTCAATTGCGCTACATTAATAACAATGTTATAAGCACTTCAGTTTTAAATACCTTCATCTCCAATCTCAGTCATGAACAACCTAGAGATAACCCTGATCTCATCAAGCTCCTTTTATCAACACTCTAGAGACTGTGATAAACATACCACACACTGCTTAATGCAAACACAGACTAGTTATTTCATGAGTTAATTTATACTTATGGAAACGAATAAGGAAACACATGAAAGTACAAGTGTACCTTTATTCTTTTATGAAGTCCCTAACGCCTGTCATTATTTCATGATTGAGAAAAACAGCTGTTGTGTCAGAAATGAAAATTTTAACTATAAATTGTATAATTATATACTTATCTTATCTCACGGCTTGTACCTCCCTGCTTTGACACTGAGTGGAACGACTGTAAACGTTTTCCCTTGGCCTCTCTTATTCCATGCTACTCTTGCTATGGATCACTTACCACAATCCATGCGAGTCATGCAGCATGCTCCCCAGCAACCCACGTGACTCCTGGTCACACATGATTCTCATTCTCGGAGCCATCACCATAATCTGAGTAGTGGGGAGGTCGGGCTGGTGTCCATCGCGTGAGATAAGATAAGTATATAAATACACAATGTATAGTTAAAATTTTCAAATTTTTAAACTTATCTTATCTCACAGCTTGCACTTATCCCACCGTTGGACGGCGGGTTGAAGATGACCCTAAGTCTCTCTAGAAGGACAGCCAAGCTGTATAATCTTGAACAACTGTAGATGGTGATGCACAAGAGCGGCCTGTTGATGGGTTCTCCTGCTTACTAGGCACAACAACTCCCAGGGAGATGGTGCTCCCAAGTGATGTGGTGTTCAGCCGCAACCTTCGCTAAGACGAAAGGACATAGCTTAGCAAGTAGGCCTTGCATTTCCACGATTTCCAAGGTACTTCCGCAATTACGGTTTCTTAATTGATAATCAGAACAGCCCCTGCTTCGAGACAACCCCCCAGACACCATCACGTAGAGGGTGAAATCAAAGTTGAATCGGAAACTCACAAGTTTTAACGTTCACAAAGCAACATTAAATTGACCTTCGCTCCTTTACATAAGGTTAGTCAAAAGATGAGCTCGGCAACTTAGGAGTCAGAACGCAACAAAATCCACTGGAATTCGGGAGGGACTCACTTCACTGACATAATTGCTCTGTAGAGTAGAGGTCAGTAAGCGACAATGTTGAACACCTCTGCATCGTGACATACACTTTACTATTAAAACCACTAAGCCAAACTTGGTGGCGGTATCTAGATGCCTTAGTATCAAACTAAGTGAAGTAATTCTTAAAAACCCATAATCAATGAGAACAAAACATAAACATAAAGTTCAGACTTTTATTCAATAAATACAGAAAGCAGTACCAAATGTTGAACTTTCCTTCATCTGCGCTGATGGGCCAAAGTGAGCTGCTGAGCCAGGACGAGTGGTCCAAACTGGTGTAACCCTTGGACGTCTGTAACCAAAAGTCTCGCAGATAATGAGATGAGAAGACACTGTCAGAGCACCAGGAACAACCCTCCATGACAGATGTCAGGGAGCAATTGCTATGCAACGCCATTGTCGAGGCTAAAGCACAAGTCTCATGAGGGTTGGATGCGGCTGGACAAGTTAAACCGGCAAAGGTGTATGCTCGTAGTATGGTAGAACGCATCCAGAATGACAATGTAGTCCTATACACCACAGCTCTAGACGTGGTTGAGAGGCACTTCCATAAAGCTGCGAGGAATATATGTAGTGCCTTAGCCGGGCAAAGTGACAAATCTTCAGCATCATGAGGCCCAAGTATGGTGGACAACAGTTGAATAGTAAAAATTCTATCCGGCTGTCCTGGCAACTGATTCTTTGCAACAAAGTCCCAGCGGAGACCCACGAAGACACAGCCATGTTTTTTCCACTCAAACCTCATGCAATAGACATCAAGCGCCTGAAGTTCTGCAAGCCGCGGTAGCTAACGCTACCAGGAAGAAAGTCTTGAAAGTAATATGCTCAAAATCCTTGTCTTCAGAGGCTCATAGTCTCCAGAAACTAGGTGATGAAGGACTACTGAAAGATCCCAGGCCGGAGGACGAAATTTCCTGGACTGGTCAGTGAGCTTGTATGACCGTAGAAAATACTGTAATTCTGGAATCATGGACACCTTTGTACCCGTAGTGATAGCCAGAACTGAATTAATGGTGGCCAAATCAGTGGCTAATGTGGTACCCTTGAGTTTCTTCGTAGCACACAAGTGCTGTACTGGCGAACAAGGATAAGTTGAGCACCGACCTGACAATTGACTTGTATTAGCATATATGAGTGCCGCCCACTGGCGCTTGCCATTGTTAGTGAAGGGGCCCCAGGTTGTCCGCGATCGAGTGTAGTACAATTGGTGAAGCAAGGCGCAAGGCGTGTGCAGCTATGCGCGGAATCAATCTCATTGTCATGCAATGCTATCTGCTCTACAAACCAAATGGGTTTGCCCATTGCCGTGCACCGCCTACTCCTCCTAAACGTGTTCTCTGTGCCGGTCTAACTTATAATTGTTTGCCAGTAGAAACTCGGCGAAGACCTGTTGTCATATAATGAAAGAGTAGACGTCCTATGAGAAGAAGTAATAGCTGTAGCTAAGAGATTTGCAGATGCGCCAGATGTGAAGAGATAGGGTCTGAGGGGACCTGTGGTGAAGATCTGAGTGAGGGTGAAAAAGTCTATCGTCTAGATCGGAAAGTCGCACCGGGTTTGGTTCAGCCAAACTTCTGAGGCGACGAACCATCTTCTCGCCGGTCAAAAGGGTGCTACCAAAAGTAGAAGTATCTTCTTGGTGGTGCCAAACTTTTGTACTACTTTGGGAAGCAGAACTGGAGGGGTGGTGGTGGTGGTGGTGGTTTGGTTTGGTTTGGAAGGGAAAGGGGCATATGTGTTTAGTCCCTCCCATGAGATTGCCAATGCGCTGAGGTCCCATGCTTGAGGGTCTGGAATCAGAAACACGAACCATGGGAGCTGGTGGTTGAATCGAGTGGCGAACAGGTCTATAAGGGGCCGTGATAACGGGTAGATCATTGTCTGGAATATCTGGGGTGTAATTTCCACTCGGTCGGTGATGGATGACTGGAGTGGCACAGGGCACTGGCTATCACATTCTTGGCTCCTGGAATGTGTCAATCATATGAAAGAATCTCATTGCCCAGTGAAGTAGATTCGCCGATCCCCTCGAACCCAGATGGTTCACATACCAAACTACCATTGAATTGTCCGACTGGACAAGTAGACTGGAGGACTGAAGGTTCTGATCCATAGTTCAGCTGCTAATATCACGGTCTTGAACTCCAGTTCGTTGATGTGAAGTGCCTTTTCTTCGAAGTTGAAGTTGGCCTGTGTAAGTCAGGGATTGTGCTGACGTGAGGAAACCTAATAGTTGCTGCCATTTGCGAAGAGTCCTTGCCTGAGACAGTACTGGTGGGACACAACGTTGGATTTTCACCTACCTGTCTTGAGGCACAAAAAGTCTTCCCCTAAGGGATGTCAAACACCACCCCGATAAATTGAAGCTTTTGAAGTATTTACTCCGACTTCACGGAATTCAACAGCCACCCTTACTGGTGAGGCAGCTTGCTGGCGAGCAGTAGATGTTGAAGTAGAATGGCTGAATCCTGGTGAGACTGGATGCAGTCGTCTATGTAACTCACAAAAACTATTCCCTGTCGATGCTGGAAACTTGTGATCAGTTTGGTAATACGGGTAAAAAACACTAGCCCGGGGAAATTCCAAAAGGCAGGACCTTCCACTCGTAATGGTTCCCATTGAACACGAAGTGAAGGTACTTCCGGTGCTCTGGATGTATCGGGACGTGAAAGTAGGCGTCCTGAAGATCGGGGCTGATGAGGAAGTCTCCCTTCTGCATAATGGTGCATAGCAGGTTGATCGACACCATCCTGAAGTGAGGAGGTGGACTAATGCATTGGGGTTGTTGGCCTGAAGTTGACCTCTGTAAGTGAAAGCTTGAGCTGAGCTGAGGTGAGGAGGCCTAACAACTCTTGCCACTGACGAAGGGATATCTCCTGAGTAAGAACGTTAAAATAGTCGAGGTACCAATACAGTACTAATGGAGTGTTGAATGTAGCAGGTTTCGGCGCATGGAGATTGTCAGACAATCAACAGGAATGTTCACATTGTAAATGGAGTGATGAAGTTTGTACGATCGGCGATCTCAGGAAAGTTTGGTTTGCATCACTGCATTGGGACTGTCCGGACATAACTGCAGCGACCTCTGAACTGAGTGCTTGGGCTAAAGTAGAAAAACCTGAGTAACCCTAGCCAAAGTTGATACGTTGTCGGGCGTTTCTGTCTGACACCCTCAGGAAGCAATCTCTCTCGACTGGCTGATGAATCTCGACATAATCACTCTTACCGGGAATGGCACCGTTCATCGTTATTGGCAATTAAAGGCAATTAAAGGCAATTAATTGATATCCAACTCATGGGACCAAGACAAGTCTGTCAGGGCACTTCATAGTCACTCTAATCATCAAAAGTCTCTGGTAAACAAACAGCAGTCCGCCATTTGCAAACATTACTCATGATGCAAAAGGGACAAAACTCCGGACAACACGATGTCAGGCAAGTCTGTGGCGATGCAATAAGGTTGGACCACGGTACGGGTGACAACACCGGATGTTGAAGGCAGCAAGGCGTCCTTGCACCTTTTGGGCGCTGAAATGACGTTGACTTGTCCCAATTGTCTTCCTTGCCTAATCATCAGCTGTTTGGAACCGATTTCGCAAGTGTGAAACTCGGAAAGTGAGGTTTTGTCGAGCTGTTATCACAGGTGGTGCACCAGGTCGCGGACGATCAGCAACACTTCCGGTAGCCCGAAAACGTTGTCTGAGTTGACTTACAGTGGATGGATGCACATTAAAGTGCCTGGCAATCATCACATCTGAAGCACCTTGGCTGACAGGGCCTGGGTGCAGGTAATGCATGTGCACAACGTGTTTCATGAATGTGGTTGTGTTTAGTAGAAATGTCAAAGGTTCAGTTTTAAGTATCAAAGTTCATGTGAGAGGAATGTGAACTCAAAATGGGCCAGAATAACAGCCTTTTATCCCTACATCCTCTGTATCGCAGGAAAAAATCTTCAATAGAACTTTTGTAAGTTTCAGGACAACAAATACCAATTGCGTTTTTAATGGCTTACAGTATAGTAATGCCCAAACGGGTTGTTGTAGAGCTAATATCTGTGCTGAAAGATTGAACTGAATCATTCATCAATGTGAAGATCGGATGGTAGATTAAATCTGGAATGAGATGAGCCCCGGTCATGGAGGAGTCTTGAAGATCTAGGATCGTCAGAATGTCCAGTGGTGGGCATAATCTAGATGACTGTACTACTGAATCAAGTGTGAATTGATCAGTTCAGTGATAAGGTCTGGATTGGCTGAGGTGAATCTATTCGACTGTGTGAATCTATTGGGTGATAAGATCCGTCTCGAACAGGTGAAACGGTTTTCGGCGGCGTTATGAACGGGATTGGTGCTGCAAATCGTTTCGGGTTGGTTAACTGGTTCAGTGTTGTGAATTGAATCAGTCTTGCGAACAGGATCGGTGAATCGATTCGATTCAAGAACTGGAGAACCGGTTCGGCGAGGAGAATTGGTTTGGTGATGATTCAATTTGTTGTGGCGACGTCTCATACGAGACGAAGTCAGCGAGTGCAGATGAGCTGATGGTCGGAGAAAAAAAGAACCAGTCAATACAACAGGGCCAATACGCTCCACAAAACTGGGCAGGTGAGGGGATCAAGAGCAAGAATGATACCCAGAATGGCTAGGTGACAAGGTACTATAAGGATCCGAATGGTTAGGCGAAGTTGATACGAAGTTGAAACAGTTCGACTTGATGAACCTCGTTTGATGCAGTATTCCCATAGTGGTTTGAACATCCATGAACCAGCTTGGAGATGCGGTTCGGTAAGGATGGATGAACTAGTACGAGGTTACTTGGTTCAATCTGTAGAACCGGTAGGGTGCGGTGAATGAGATTGACCAGACAAACTAGAACAGCGATGATAAATAGATGAATCGGTTCGATGAGCTGCCGTTCGGTAGGGTGAATCAGTTGAGCCTGAATCAGGCCGAGGTGAACCGGTTTGAGATGACAAAGTACTTGGGTGAAACTGTGGTGAACCGATTCGGTCTGACGAACCAGTTTGGTAGTGCGGTTCAGAGGACCGAGCAGGCAAACCAGTTCGGTAACGTGGTGGTGACGAACTGGTTTGAACTGACGAAGCAGTTCGGTGATATGGTTGAGAAGATCCGGCGAAGCAGATCAATCTGCCGAACTAGTTCGGCGCTGCTGCGGCGAATGGGTTCAGTCTGACGAACTAGTTCGGTAAAGTTCGACAATCGTGTGGTGAACTGGGTCGGCCTGACAAACTAGTTTGGGAATGGTGTGGTTGACTGGTTCGGCCTGATGAACTAGTTCGATGATAGCGTGGTTCGGTTCGGCCTACGATATGAATGAGTTTGGCTAGTACACGGCAGTTCAGCTTGATCTGACAAACTATTGTGATCACTGAGTCAGTGAGTTTAGTTTTATGCTGCTTTTAGCAATATTCCAGCAATATCACGTCAGGGGGACACCAGAAATGGGCTTCACACACAATGCCCATGTGGGAAATCGAATCCAGGTTTTCAGTGTGATGAGCGAACTCTTTAACCATTAGGCTACCCCACCGCCCCACTATCGTGTTGAGAACAATCAGATGTTTGACTAGACGAACATGATCGTGAGAGGCTATGAGAGGATCGATTCGGCGAAGTCACCCGAATGTCCTTAGGGGCTGCAGCGGTCACAGGGATGGACGGTTGTCCCATCACTACCACCCTAGAAACTCTAGTCTTAGGGGGAGACGAGTGAGTACCCAACAATTTCTCAAATCTTCCGAGAGGTACGAATCGGACAAAGCGGCCATAAAATTCTCCCATTCCGAGGGAGGTGAATTCAACCCCTTCACAACCAAAGTAGGATGCTGCAGACAAGGTTTCTTAGCCGAAGAAACACCCATTTCTGACGAGATATATCTGGCACGGTTTGCTAGATGATGGGAACACACCCGATGATATGTGTTATACAATGCTTATCAGCCTCACATAACCCAATACAGTCGACACAAGAGCTGTGTGGGTAAAAATTACAGAAAGACTTTTCACACTGTGCGCAAAAAATGCATTTATGTTATCTTGAGGTTTCTCCATAATGGAGAATTCAGTTTATTCTTTTTCTGCTATCGAAGGAAACTTGAGTGTTCACAATATACGTCCACACAGGGACGCGATGAGAAAGAGAATCATGTGTGAGCAGTGGTCACATGGGTTGCTCGGGTGAGGTGAGGTGAAATTGGGTTTTACGTCGTGCTTGAGAATATTTTGCTCATATGACGACGTGCATGTATGTGTATGTGCAGCTGCTTGTACTAGCCCAGACTTAAGCTGGTTTTATAGTGCTAGCCCACTGAGATACCATGCTGCAGTGAAGCAAGAATACCCTGCTCAGACATATTATACTGACTCCGAGCCGACCAGTCCTTGTTGTACCTATTAATGCCGAACGCCAGGCAGGGACCAACAAGTGCCATATTTTAACCTCTTTTGGTATGACGCGGTCGGGGATCGAACCTGCGACCTTCCGCACTCCGGGAGGACACTCTAACCACTACACCATGGAGGCGGTCGGGTTGCTGGGGAGTGTGCTGCATGACTCGTATGGATTGTGGTAAGTGATCCATAGCAAGAGTAGCACAGAATACACGGGCGATGGGACAAGAGAGGCCAAGGGAAAACGTTTACAGTCATTCCACCCAGTGTCGAAGCAAGAGAGAGGTGCAACCCGTGAGATAAGATAAGTTTAAAAATTAAAGATGTGTTCTAATGACTTTGTCATGAAACAGAGGTATTTATCATGATTGATAGCCTTGTGATAGTAAAGTCATATGTTCACACTTGAAAGAGTGAAGTCATCCGATATGATGCAACTCACCTCAGGCTTCAAACTGACAGCTTTCCTGTACAAGTCCTCTGCATCATGGTCTTTACTGTTTTGTCTGCAACCATATCATTGAAAATTTTACAATAAATTGTATATTTATATAACTATCTTATCTTACACATTTCATCTCTCTATACTATATTAGACATAGACAATACTTTATTACCTTAAAAGGAATTCGTTTTGCATCACAGAGCTTGACAAAAATACAAATGAAATATGACATTACTAAAATATAAAAAGAGATAAATATGTGCTTAAATATAATTAAATGAATAAGATGATAACTGGACATTCAACATTTGTTGAAAATTGCAATACTTTGAGGTACAAAAGACGCTCAAGCTCATTTAGTCTTGGTGATTGGCACTGTGTAGCGGCAGCCCGAATGTAAAAGCTTATACTCTAGATTTAAAATATGCAGTGTTCACGAATGGTGTTTCAAAGTAACAAGACATTGGGTCCTGTAAGTTTCAGATGTCTGTCTGACCCATTGAAAATTCACAGGACCCATAGAATATAATTAAATAAACATTTCAGATTTAACATTTCTCATAATTTGGCATTGAAATTATTAACAAACATAAGATTTATAAACAGCAAACAAGTGTCATATGTCACATATAACAACTTCAGTCAAAGTCACTGTGAAATATACAGCCAGACACTGGGGCCGGCGGGATGTAGACTTCTATCGGACTGTTGGCCAATCTGCCGGATTTGTCAGAGGGTCAGACGCTATTCGTGAACACTGAATATGTGTTGTGTCATTAATGATTTTTTCAGACAAAACCCTCAGCATGTTTCCATTTGCAAACTACCTCACCCAAACACACCCAGTAATTACCATCACCTTCGGTGCTGCTTGCCCTCTCTAGCCATATGACCTCTCTGAAATATCATTCTCTCTTGAAGAGCTAAGGTAAGTAATCTATGTTGTGTCGCAGTTCATCGTGTGAAAGAATTTATTGATAGATTGATCATAAATGTTTCAAATTTTTAACTTATCAATACTTCCTTGCTCATTATGCACAGAATGCAATTGGCCCATTGTACATTTAGATATTGAGGTCCACATATGACAAAACAGAGCTCCAGACATTCATGACAGGCAATATACTTAATACTATAATAAAGAAGGTGTTCATCCATATATTGGTTTCCTTCCTTAACCCTCTGGATACCGAGTCTTTTTTCTGGCACACATTTTCATATGGTTTTACAGGTGAACGTTGTGCAAGAATTGCTCTTATGTGGTCCTGGATCTACATACGGCTATAAAATTACACAGAACTGTAGACTATTAAATTTCTTATCGATGGTATAAATTTAAGTGCAAATACTTCAGCGGTTTGAAAAACAGACACTGCTAAATGTTGTCCAAAATTTTGAAAAGTGTTAAAAAAAAGTAAATATAATAAATTAGATTAACATATTCTCTTGTTTGTGTAGACGTTTTTTGACTAATTTTGCACCATTATTAACAGAGTACTAGGCATATCTTCAAATGTAATGAAATTACTGAATATATTACACCATTTTTAGTTGACGTCATGGCATGTTTCATGTGTTTTTTTATGTCGGAAATAGACGACATATGTATGTTGATTAGTATATCTCACCTAATTTCCATTATCTGTATAAAAGATCTTGGGGTTTCTACGTCAGAATTTAACGCTCTTTCGACAGAACATAAAAGGACTGATTTTACCATTTAAATAATGTCAATAGATCAACAATTAGACGGTTTGACTGTGTATCTTACTGTGAACAACACATGCACCTTTTGGGCATCAATTTAATGTAAATGAAAAACAGAATTTCACAACACCCAAATATATTTTTTAGGATAGGACTTTTCTTTGTTTACGATTATGTGGCTATTTCTCTTCTAAAGCATACAATGAAAGATGCAAAAAGATAGACTTTTTGTATAGAATTATCAGAACAATTGTGTAAGGTTTGTCCAAATTAAGACATAACATGGTTTATATATTTTTAAACAATTTTGGTAGAAATATAGTTAGATCTGTATCTCCTGTCATCATAATTTTTTTAAAATGAATATGAATTACTTTATATCATTGAAAACAGTGATAGTGAATTGCAAAATGTTTGTGATGAACGCAAACCTGGCCAATCAATACATCACTGTTTTGCCTATAAAATGACACAAACAAATTAAATGAACAAGACAATACCTTTAAAAATGTGTGACATTTCATAAAACATGTAAATCATTTTCATTAATATTGTCAGTTTTACTTATGAGATTAACATAAATCACTGTTCATTAACCTGTTCATATGAAACTGTAATATTGGTCCCAATGTTGTATATTGCACATCATAGGAACTGAAGTGCATGATGTACAAGTACATGATGCCTACTCTTCATTTTTTAACACCTGTGTAAAAGTTTAAAATATGGTGTACTACACTAAATGTGTCCATTACTTATGTAAATATTATTCAAAGAAACAAAAACTTTCAAAGAATAAAAAATGTTAAGCCTATATCCACATACTGGGTATATGAAATTTAAATAGGAAAAATGTAGATAATGAAATCAGTTCTATGAAAAAATATCTGAACAATGCTCCAAATATGCATTATAATACTGAAACTAATTTCGGCAGGATAGGTTTGTTGTGTTTACTCTTATTCAGCTGAACTTCACCTCAAAGAAATTGCCAAATATGTACAACAATGTTGACCTATGACATCACTACCTATGTCTTACAAAATGGCAGATATGTGGGTACACAGGATTTTTCGAGGGACATTCCCTTCATTCAGGAAAACATTTGTACATAAATATGTGATGTAAGTAATCAGAAAGATTTTGACTATCTGTGTAATGTTATTTGTTAGGATCGTTTTCGTTGTAGGTAATAAAAGAAGTCAGAAATGCTGATAAATACTGTTGACATTCTGCTTAATTTTTTGTCAGTCATGGCGTTTCACTGCATGGAAACATTGACAATTTCTTATGAATTTATCAAATCATTGTATTGTATCTATATTTAACTCCCTTTTTCTTGCTTCCATACTCTTTCATGCTTATTCTAAACGTACTGAGCTAATGCAAGCAGCGATTAGACGAATGGATGTAAGGAAAATTTGAGAAAAAGCTACGCATTGTAAAATCGGAAGTTTCCTTTGTTTACATTTCAAACAAGAGCAGTCTCACAATGTTCATTTTCATACCCAATATGTTTCGTCTGATTTCATCTTGACACTAGGTTTTGGTGACAAAGACCATTTGTTATTTGATTCTAAAATATATGGGGAATTCAGTGATGTATTTGTTGCAGCTGAGTGTGAAATATACGTGATGTAATAGGCGTCTCAAGACTGTCCTTCGCAAAACCTAATCTTGTAAACACTGTCCAATATGGCAGAAAACTAATTCTTGGTTTATTGGCAGTGTCAGTAAACTTATGCTCAGTATTACTTGTTACACTGCCACACTGAGTCTGACAAACCACAATAGAAGGTCGCGTCAGCTAACTTTAATGTTGTAAAGGTGTTCACAACGCCCACTGACAAGTTGACATGATCTGTTCAATGGACACCATCTTCCATGAAGCTAAGGATGATGCAATGGCCCTGATCTCATGTGGCCGAAGTGACCCACAGGGGGGAGGTTGCACTTCCCCCATGGCATAGGCAAGCTTAATAGTTTTGGTTATATCTGTGTCGGGTTTATCATGGCAAGATAACCACAGCCTCTGACATCTTTGGCGAAAAGCCTCTGTCTTGTCAGGATACCACTAAAGACCTCTTACTGGGCATAAAAGTCTGTCTGGGAAACCCGCGTCTAACGTAGGGGCTGGAGAAGGGATAGTAACCATTAGTTGTCCTTGTGGCCCCAAAGCAGACTTCAAATTCTTGGAAAGGAACTCAGATAATACTCTGATCATGACTCTGCAGGGATTCCTGAAATGGACCCTACATCCATCCAGTAATTCTGAAAGCAGTCTTCTAAGCAGGATGAGAAAGTGTTGGAATGGATGGTGTAAAAACGCCAATAAAACCACTGACAATTCTCGTAACGTAGTTATTCACTGTTTTGGGATATCCTCCAGTTCAAAATAATGTGCATGCTGGTAAGGACCTGGTCATTCCTAATATGTATTCCTTGCTTATTGAGAACTGAAGCAAGTGCCAAATGATATAGTTCCATGCAGAAGATGTAAGTCATTTCTTAGATGTATTAGAAATTCCTCAATTATAGGAATAGTTATATGTAGATTGTCAGGTCCTGATCTGATTCTCTACTGCTGGAATTGATCCCACTTGTAGTCATAGAGAGCATATGTTGAAAGTCTGAGTGATTGTGTAACAGCTGAGGAAACTCTTTTTGAAAATCCCGCTGAGGAGAGATCCATAAGTGCAGGAACTGTTGTAAATTGTTATGGAACTTGTCTGACCTCGGCTGTCCGAGAAGTGTAGGCAACTGAGGAAGATGTGGTGTGGTGTCTGGTCTTGAGCATAGAGCCCAGGTCACAAATCAGTTGAAGTTAAGCAACGTTGGTCACGGACAGTCCTTGGATGGGTGAACGTGTTTGGCAGATTGATTCCTGTGAGTTTCTAGGACTCAAGTCCTGCCCCACAACGAAGCACATGTGACACATGTGGGATCACCTTAGGCAAGTGAGTTTGTTCATGCATTGCTTCTTTTCACCAAACAGTGAATGGGTACCAGTTGGGATAAGTCATATGACTGTTTACCTTCTAGCGCCTCACAGGCAGCTAGGGCTATCCGGGGGGAATAGCACTTTGATCATGTTTAAGTGCGTGGATACAGGTGCTTTATAAATAGCCATTATTAATTGTAAGTCTATCAATAAACACAGTAGGCTTAGGAACCATGCTGGTGCCACCAGGAATATTGCCATGTGATGGTTCCTGATCTTGGATAGGACTTGTGTAATAAGTGCTGGTGATAGAAACGCATAGGCGGTCATTCCCTCCAAAGATGTTGACGAGACATCCACTGCATAAGATTGAGGATCTGGGACTGGACTGTTTGTTGAGAAATGTTGCAAACAAATCTATGTGAGGTTGTTCCGATATGATCGCTATCTGCCTGAAGACATCTGGACGAAGCGTCTGGGCATCTAGAAGAATGTTGACCTTCCCCAGGATGTCTGGCTACTATGCTGCACTGCAGACTGTCCACCATATAGCAATTTCCCTCACAAGATCCATAAGGTCTTGAGAATCATGGCTGTATCCCAAACTGCTGACATAGGCAACTACTCGCCAACCAGTAGTGAGGAGTTCCCGAGTCTAATGATTAATACAAAGAGATTAACTAGTGGGTTTTCATTCTAAATAGCAGAGGGTTGTCTCCCTTAGCAATTTAGTTTAGACAGCATGGTGAGCACACTCCGGCGCAGTGATGACTTAGCATAACATCACTGCCACAGGCTAATTTTCATATCACGTGACCAGACTTTCTCTTGTTTGTAAACAAAAGTGCATATTCATAATAAGAAGAGACTGGCTTTACGCAAGCTTTTCTGCGTGCTCTTCACAATGTTTTACATTGTTACATATATATTCTTCCACAACTGTGACAGTAACATTTATGACAGTACATATGTAGGTATCAACCTGGCTGCATCTTTAGCTCTCTGTCGGCTTCAATGACAGCACGTGGAGCTGTACAACCTATGTAAACAAAGGATCGCTACGCAAATCGAAATAGTGTTACACGTTTTATGATATTTTCTCAGTGCGAAACTAAACCATTCTATCAAAGATGTTTCATTAGATGTGTAGACTCGTAAAAAATACAAGAGTTAAGAAATATGTACATTATATTGAATGGACGGTGGCCTGTGGCAGAGGTACTATGCTGGCTTGCCGCATGGAACTCTGGGTAGGAGAGTGCGCCCGAGTTCCTTGAAAGTATTCTGACAGAGAGCTGATGATGAGCTGATGCCTCGATGATAACTTATCTAATTCTGAAGGTATCTGAGATACAGACATCTTGGTAACATTCCAATAGTGGATAAACGATACCTTGATGAGGGTCGAATAATGACCACTATGTACTTCCTTGACTTTCTAGGGTTATAGCTCCGATTTTTCCCTCAGATAAAGTGAGTTGTCTAAAGTCTCATTTATGGATGGATAGGTATGTGGAGATAGGTATGTGGAGATATGCATCTCGCAGATAGATGGAGATCATAGAGTCCCCTATGGATACGTCTGGCTGAGGTTCTGTATGGAATCCATCCTAAAATTTGGTGGTTGCTGCAGGTGTTCCCAGCCTTGACATTTAAGTGACCTGAGCAGTAAATTGGTAAGAATAATTTTAGAGGTTAAATGTTTATAAATATAATTTCCTAAAAATGAATCAATATCGAATGCATTTTTACAACCTCTAAAATTATTCTTAACGATTTACTGTTCCGTACATCATCCAAAATAGAAGGAATATTGCAAAGTTCATATTTCGCCCATTAGCAAACAGGCAAAATCTTACAGTATATTATATTTTCCACCAATCGGACGGCCCAATTCAGTTTCTGCGGATCTGCTCAGGTCACTTGAATGTCAAGGCCATCTATGGCCGACAAGTGAGTATGATTGCCGATGGTTTTGGAGAAAATGCCTGCTTACTGTCGAGGAAATGATTTGTAGATGTTGCAATAAGTTTTTAGACCCGTGGAATGCCGCTGCCGATCGAAACTAGTCCTACATAGGTGCTGTCAACGTGACTGGAATTAATAAACGAATTTAAAAGGAAAGTTTTTGCTGTCTTGGGTGATCCATGATTTTGGCTTGTAATTGTGGAGGTAGCTGTTTTCGGTGAGTCGTGGGGCATAACTTTTGAAATAATGATCCGATTGTGACCATTTGTAGCTCATTTTGTAGGGAAATCATCTCACTTTCGATTCGTAGGCCTTGACGGGGCCTTAAAAATAGTTTACGTGGTGAAATCTAACTTTGATTAAAGAGGGGGTGGTTCCGTCGTTACATCCCTTTCCTTTTATATAGTATTAGGGTAGGGTCTATATACCTATATGTTGTTCTAACACTGTTTCTAAGCGTGACACGCCCCTATGCTCCCTATGAGGCCCCTGATGAGGACTCCATGGCCGTAGTCTCATGTGTGGACGACAAGGACTTTCAGCACTTCCTCACTTCTACCGTTAAACAGCTGGTTATCAAAGGTCTGGGAATAGAGCATGTTGCGTAGGTTGGGATACATCGTGGATCAGAGCGATGGTCTCTGCTAAGGAGCCTGAACTGCGTGCAATCTTTGCCAAGAGAATCTGAGAGTCAAATATCGCCTTGGCCATTACTATCTGTAACCATGTAGCATCTGTGCTGTGTCACCAGCAATCTCTAGTTTAACTGAGGGTGGATCATCAGCTGCATAAGTCTCCATCGTAGGTGGTAACATCTTCCTAATGCCAGAGACAAACCAGTAGCTAAAACCTTGGATATCATTGATGAACTTATGGCCTCATCCAAATCACTGATTCTCCTCTCCTTAATCATCATATGCTAAGGAATGTTGACTGCGAATCACTAGAAGACTTTGGTCCACACAGAGAGATGATACAGCAAATCTCTGTTGCCTGTTGCGTATGAGTCCATCCCTGCTGCTTGTGTGGTGATGAATTCTGAAGCTTCCGCTGCTATGCCCAACGACGCCAACTCCGGTTCATGTAGAATGCCATGGCGTAAGTTCACGTAAAAGAATCTGATAGGTTATGGTCCGAGCTGATACTTGGTCTTTCGGTGTGAAGAACCTCCACGGCTAAAGCTGTTAGAACCTCTGCTGCTTGCCTAATCTGTTTAGCTGGTAGTAATGGATGTCTTTCTGAGCGTACCAATAAGCTTTTCTGAAAAACCTGTGCAGGTATCTCCATGGCTAATACGGTCTGTGCGGTTGGTGAACTTAGTATGGTGGTATGGTCCTTGCGGTAGGTAAGGTCTGTGTGACTGGCATGGTCCGTGCAGCAGGTGTGGACTTTTATGTTTTATGTTTAGCCTTTCAGGAACATCTGACAGCATTACTCTCAAACATTGAGTACCACAGGGATCTGTTTTAGGCCCGTTGCTGTTCCTGCTGTATACTGGTTATGTTGCCAACATCACATCAGTTCATAACATGTTGCATCATTCGTACGCAGATGATACCCAACTCCTAAAGAAGATACCTCTGCAAAATCTAAGTCAGTCACTTCTAGAACTCACAAACTGCACAAGGGAAATCAAGTCCTGGATGACAGCTTATATGCTCAAGCTCATTGACACGAAGACTGAGGCACTTCTGGTAGGAACAGGTCACCAAATTTCAAAATGTCCCATTAAGAGTCTAACCACAGGTGAACAATATCTGTAAGACCTGCCATTTTCATCTCCACTCCATCAGCAACATTCCTCAATATCTTACAGCTGAAGCCGCCCATGCCTTAGTTCGGGTGCTTGCAATTTCAAGGCTTGACTACTGCAACAGCTTGCTGTTTGGGATCAGTCAGAAGCTATTGGAAAAGCTACAGAAGGTGCAGAACATGGCCGCGTGTATCATCAGTCGGATTCCCAAACATGGCCACATCACACCTGTTCTTAAACAGCTACACTGGCTCCCCATCAAGGCAAGAAGTGACTACTAAATCCTCTGCTTCACCCACATGGCCCGTCACGGTCTTGCTCACCCATATCTGTCTGACCTGCTTACTCCTTACTCGAACAAATCCTGCATTCTATATCTAATCAAGAGCTTCTGTTTGTTCCAAACTTCAGGCTTAAAACTTTTGGAAACCGGACTTTTTCATATGCAGCCCCAACCATGTGGAATTCACTCATATCAGATCTCCTAAAGGCTTGAGAGCTGCAGATAACATGAAGGAACCCACACTCCCAACATAATTATTTAGCAGATTGTTTTAGTGCCTGAAGGTGAGGAAGAGATATACTTAAAGCCTTTAGCTTTACATTTACAGTCTAGCTCTATTATACACAGAAAGACAGCCTGTCATATTACAACCTACCTGAAGGCATTTGCGGCATTAAACAAAAGCTCAAAGTCTGGTGTTGTTTTTGACAACGCTGATCTGTAACGGCCCTCTGCTTCTATGTGACGGCCAGTCTCTGTCAGGAACTGAGCTGAAACACATCCCAGTACAAAGTATTGTCTGATAATCATTTTTTATGCACAGAAAATAGCATTATTCTATAAGCAACTTGTAAGCAGACAAAACTTTATACTGGCCACAAATTGTCATCCAGTACATCAATATACTTCTGAGAGTTTCTGTTTTCTTCTCATGTAGTAAGGTACCTACACCATGCACAGATATACAGCCCATTTTATGGTCGAATAGATTTAATTTTCATATTTTCTCATTGTAGTTGCGCAATAATACACAATGCAACGTTTATGAATGAGTAAAGTCACTTGGCTTCATAATCACTACTCATTCCCAAGGTGATCATCCACAAAATAGTTTCTGCCACATCTTCGCGTCATCAAGGCGATAATGACAATGCAAACTAGATAACATCACAGAAAATTGATTAAACACTCTGTAACGATAATGTTACCATGTAAATGTGGATGAATTTAATTCTTGCAAGCATAAAATATTTGAATGTGTGACGTTATCATTATCATTTGGTGGTTGTCATCATCACTGATGATATCTCTGCACATTGGGAATTTGTACTTGTGTACCAGTTTACGTTCAATGTTCTATCGACTGGAGCCAAAACTATTGAGTGTGCGTAATTAGGTGTACCCCGTGTGCTTCAATGTGACATTGCTGAGGTTACGTTCACTATGAATGGGGGACTACTCTTCTTCGCCACAGCCTTTCCGTTTTCCCGAGACACAAACTGCCACTTGGAATGTTACGGAATTTACCGAGTTGTCAGTATGAAATGTGAGTTGATTACATCATGTATGTTATTAAGACATGAACTTTGCATTATCATGCGTCAGAGGAATATCTTAAGCAATGACTTATGTTGAACATTGATCAACCGTTCACAGTGCATGTTCGATTTAATCGAAAGGACGTGTGTTGCAACTTGCACTCATGAACCCTTGCAAAAGCTTTATGTTGTACATTGTTTCAACGAGTGTGTTTTGGTTCTGATTGTCATGACTAGAATCAAAAGTTTTAACAAACGAATTAGAAAATAAATAGATTTGTGTTATATTTATTCTAATTGTGTTTTATTGTATAAATACCTGTTTATGTTGCAATCAGGAAAATAACAGGTAGATGTTAAGGTGTTTGTCACGAGTAACAGGTTTCTGATCGATTGAAGCACGAGTAACTTACCAATAAATTGTAATAAGGAAAGTAGTCTGTCATAATCTGACCCTAGGTCATCACCATGGAGTAGCGGTTTATCACCCACGGGTGTGTAAGAAACCTTCTGCTGTTGTGATGGGCACACACATTGCAATCAATTGACTTTGCCAGCCTTTCTCCAGACATACATATGGTTATTCTTGCCGACTACTATTAGGCTTTCATCTGAAAATATTACAGAATTCCAATTACCTTCCACAGTCTATGTTCTTCGTTGCTTACACCACACCACTCTTACAATATATTTCTTCCATGGTCCCTAGTATGGTGATCTACCTTCAGTTGTTGGTAATCTGTAGCCTGTTGTATCGTCTTGTATAGTTAAAATGTTTTAAATTTAAGTACTAGTTTTAGATTTCTAACTGTGATAATCTAGTTGTTTTGCTGTCCTTCGTTGACAGATTTTTATAATTTCCCTTTAATAATTTTAGTCTATAACTTGATTTAGTCACGATATGGCTGAAATATTGCCAAAGTGACTTTAAATTTTAACTCACTCACTCACTACAATATATTTCTCACAGGACCATCTTCTTTTTAACAATTCTCCTATAAAACCTTCATTGTGCAAAGTTCTCTGTACAGTCCTCATGGACACAGGATGGTCCATATTTTCATTAATTTTAGTGGTTATATCCGTCACATTTGACTTGGATTATTTTTCAACATTACAAAAAGCGAGGTCTTGCCCCTGTTTGACAATGATGAATGATGTCATTTTCAAGGCTGATTTCCCACATTTCCAGTCACATGAAAGTTTAAAACAACACTGTGAACAGTAGGAATCCTAGGAATCCCCCAAAACCTGATAATTTCATAAAATCTTGGTCCTTCCTCATTCATTGTAACAATTAATTGTTTTGTGTTGGTGTCAAGTTCTGACTCATCTTGTTAGACAACAAGAACACCGAAAATACAACAGCAGATGACAATTTGAGCAGATGACATGATTGTCACATGCATAAACTACAAATTCAGAAGTTTGTGTCACATAATATGCGTCACACGATGACAAAGCTAACCTGACGTAATTTTTCAAAGACTGCGCCTCAGAATGCAAAGTGATGAATACTTCCGGCTCTATTCTGTGATTTCAGCATAAGGCGCTGTGAAGAGGATGGATGAATTCAAACATTGAGGGTGTCATTAATTGAGCGAGAATTGTACCAATATTTCGCACTTCAATACTTGATAGAAAAATTGAAAATTTTAACTATAAATTGTATATCTATAAATAGTTATCCTATATCAGAGTTTGAACTCTCTCTCTCATGTTCAACAGCTGAGTGGAAACAAACTGTAAACAATGTTTTTGGCCTCTCTTGTACCATTCTTGTACTTGTAGCCTCAGTTAAGCCTCTGTGAAGTATGCAGCATGTTCTCTGGATGGTCATGTCATCCCTTTGGGTAGTCATTCTCTTCTTGGAGCCTTGGTTGTAAACTGCACAAAATTTTCAAAACTTATCCTATCTCACAGTTTGTACTTATCCCACGGTTGCACAGTGGGACACAGATTACCCTGTGTCTGTGTTAGATGAAAACTGTGTTGATGTGATGAAGGGGCACAAGGAAGCTTGTTACGAGTACAATTGCCGATTGGCTACATAACTCCTATATTTGTGATGGGTTGCTCTTAAAAAAACCACCTCAACATGTTTCCACGCCTTGCCCTGATTTCCAGCAAGCCCAAAGAATTAAAGTCTTCTGACACTAATCTGGAAAGCTTAGGCTTCGACACCATCCCACACAAAGGTGAAAAACGAGGTGGCCCGGTGTAACAGGCCAAACTTTCCCCCTGGCCGAACCTTCCCCCTGGCCGAACCTTCCCCGGGGAAACTTTGGCCTAGGCCAAACTTTCCCCCATTAGGCTTAATCTTCCCCAGGGAAAGTTTGTCCTAGACCAAACTGTCTCCACCCTTGAATCAACTTATAAGGCTACTTGTTTCAAACCCTTGTTCTTATTTCAAAAGCGGGAGATTCTGGCCAAGCTAGGCTATTTCTTCCCCAACCTTGTTTTCATGTTTATGTTTGTCTTGAAAAAGTCAGAAACGAAAACAAGACATAGCTATTCACGTGAACACATTGAGAAGATATTCATGTTGATGTCAAGTTCCATTAACAATTTACAGGTCATCTTCATCTTCCTATATAACATGTACATAGTTCACATTTTGTTTCAATATCCTTATATAAGGTGAGATTAAAAAGAAAAGCAAGCATAAAAGCAAAGATATTATATCATTACTATTGTTTTATATTATCATTTACTTATTTTTATGTTTCAATAATTTACTTGTCCCTACTTATCTCAAAATCATTACTATATTCAAAACTAAATACCCACATTTTACTTGGATGTCCATATCCATTCAAAATTTTATTCCCTCACTCATGGCTTTAAATATGGCATCCACGTCAGTGACATCAACTTAACAGTTGGAAGCAGACGTAAACATGAACACAACAACAACCCAACACAATATCTATATCAAATGCTGTATCATCTATCATTCCACTATATTGCCTTATTCTATATTCAAAAGACAAGGTTTGATAAGGGGTATACTTGGCCCATGGATATCTGAATCATATTTCATTCACCAAAAGTGATTAAGGATTAGTAAACAATCTTATGTAAATAATGTTCCATTACATTTATACATAAATACAACAAATATTAGATAATAAAGAGCATCAAATGTGAGATTGAATGTGGTGCCATGATTTGGACAGATGAAGAACTAATGCAATGTGTCTTCATAGGAATGGTGGCAGGAGCAGGATGGATTTAGAGATATATGCCGTTCAAAATGTATGCATTCAAATCACTACACCCAAGTCAGAGGCAAAAATGTGTACCAAAATATAAGTCAAAACTACTGTCGGTTTATAAGAGCAAGGATGGGGAAGAAGAAGCCTAGCTAGGCCAGAATCTCCCCCTTTTGATATAAATGCAAGGGTGGGAAAGAAGTGGCCTAGCTAGGCCAGAATCTCCCAACTATTTATAGAAAACAGAACACAATATCCTAGTTTAAACAGGGGAAAACGTTTGGCCTAGGGGGGGAAACTTGAGCCTATCCCAAACTTTCCCTGGGGTAAGAATATCCTAGGACAAAACCTCCCCAGGGAAAGTTTGGCCTAGGCCAGATTGTCAACGGGGAAAGTTTAGACGGGGGAAGAAATGTCCTGCTACACCGGTACGCTCAACTGATTTAATGTTCGATTCTGAATGACATTGATTGACCATGACTCCTTTGCTTAAGCTAAGTCAAGGAGGTGTCCGGCAACTGAGGAGCGGAAAGCATCGAAATCCACTGTAATTTGGTATTCACACGCCATTGACATAATTGCTCTCTAGAGTAGAGGTCAATGAGTATGAGTGTCGATGGTCTCTACATCAGAGTACAAGCCTCTCAGTCTATGATGAAGTCGTTCAATGATGACTGTAGTGCAATGCACTAGTGTACAACTCGGTCAGGTAGATCTATGCCCAAGGAAGTAGAACGAAGATGAATATTGGAGTTCCATACTGTGGTTGCCCTTAATCCTGAAAAACTGCAGGCCCTTAGGACCAAGAATCATAAAAAATTGTGGGTCCTGATCAGAATATGTGGGCCCTATATTTTAATATGGGAATAATACTCTTAGTTATTGGGATGAAAAAACTGTCAGCCATAAGGACCTGCAGAAAACAAAAGCTGTGGTATAGAGTGGTTTTCAGCCTGCTTTGGGCCGAAGGACCGACATAAATTTCGAACGCTGGCTCCATACATCTTTATTTACTTT